TTTGGGTAATTTATTATAAACTTTAATTGCCATACAAAAGGTGTTTTTTCGAAACAGTTCTAGATTGATTTTTGGCACAGTCAATTTCTCCCCATGTCTACTTCTTACTTTGACTTCTACATTCGACTTAAAAATATGTATGTTTCTGTGCACGAATAAGGATATTCCTAAAATATAAATACATAGAAGAGATAACATTTTGAGCTTCTTAAATAAAGGTACACAACTATCACGACAGTTTGCCCCACAAATTGCTCTAATACATTGCTTTTGCGCCTTAAATACCCTACTTACTTCGACTGAATTTCCCCAAACTATAGTTCCATATCTAAGTATAGATTAAACATATGCATGATAAGCAGCTTATACCGTAGCATGGTCACAAATGGTCGTAACAGTTTTCCTTAGTCGTTTTAACACAAAAACAAAACTGTCTATTTTGTTCTGTAATATTTCAATATGTGCTTTCCAACTACAAAATTTATCTATCGTTATACCTAAAAATACACACTCGTTCATTATGTCCAGTTAATTGCTTTTATATTGTAACTCTATTTGTGTTTTTGAGTTATATTTCTGAAAATGGATTATGTTAGTTTTGGTCATTATTTGTAGATTATTTGAATTCATCTAGTTGATGGCGTCGTCTAGAGATTTATTTAAGTTGTTTTTTAAACCTTGTTTGTTTTTACTTTTTATTATAAGTTTAGTGTCATCAGCAAATAGTATACAGTTCTGGTTTATAGCATCAGGGAGGTCATTTATGTATGTTACAAAAAGTAGTGGGGCAAAAATCTGCCTTGAGGTGTTCCGTACTCATTTTTCTTAAAATTGGATCTATAGGTTTTTTGTTCTAGTTTACAAATCTTTGTTATTTCTACATATTGCATTCTATTTTCAAGGTAACTTTTCACCCAGTACTTCTTATTCCGTAGTTTTCTATTTTTTTAAAAGTCTTTCATGACATACAAAGTCAAAAGCCTTTGTCATAATTTATTATCTAGAAAGATGCAACGGATAAGCATTTTATCATTAAAGCATTCAGTAATTTGTTTGACTAGGGAAAAGCACGCAAGGGTGGTAGAACAAATCTTTCTGAAACCAAATTGTTCTTTTTTTGAAGTTATACTTCTTTAGGCGCGTTATGAAAAATTGATGAGAGTGAAATTTTACGATGCGCGCGCACCGTGACTCAAAATTAACAGAATGAAGTTGCCCACGGAAGACGCTACGGCATTACACTTAATGTAAGAGAATAATAATAAATATTTATTTAAATATCGTATGATAAAATGAAATTCTCTATTTTAATATACATTACTTTTTCGAAAATTTTAGATAATAAAGGAATTAAAGTTATTGGTCTATAATTAGTAATTTGTGTTTTTGCTCCTTTTTTATGTAATGGTTTGATAATTGATATTTTTAGTTTTTCAGGAAAGATCCCTTCTACTATCGAAAAGAAAAATACTTATATGATTCAGAGGGATTATGGCTTCTGGCAATTTTTTTGTTTTATTTTTAGTAGGCAGTGAGGTAAAATAGTCATTAAATAAGTTGCATATTTCATGTGGTGATTCATATGTTTTGTTATCGATATTAATTGCTTCTATTCCTGAATAAAATGTCATGTTTCGTGTTTTAATTACATTCCAGGCTGCTCTAGTTTTGTTTTTTTGCGCAATTTATGTATTCTGTATTAGTAAGCTGATGGGATTTATGCATTCATTTTTTAAAAATAGATGAGTATTTATTATATTATGCAGATTTATTTTGTTTTTTTATTATGCTTATTTAAATGATATTTTAGGTAGAACGTTATTTTTCTTATACAACATTTTTTTGCGCTTGAGTAAAGATAGGTTTAAATGTATTCTTAATTTTTAAGATCGGAAAACATAAATTGTAAAATAATGTATAAGTAATGGAAGTTGTCGAATGCTTTATTTGTTGTAGTGGAGCTGTATACGTTCGAGACGGTAAGGCTTGAAAGACACCTAATATATTTATTAGTGTTTTCCCTATTGAGTTCTCGTCTGTATATAAACCAGTACTTTGGAATATCTTTAAAATTTTCGTTTTCTTCGAGTGTAAAAGTCAGCGATTGTGCGGTCTCATGGTCTGAAAGTGCCAAGTAGTGGAGGCCCGATTGTGTGTCATTTATGTTACTTGCTATTCAGTCTACGCAGGAGTTTTTACGTATTTTACGCTTTACATGATTTTGTAAATTATTATATTGAAGAATAGAGATAAGTTCGCGGGAACTTTTATTGTTTTTTAAAATGTCTACGTTCCAGTCTCCACATAATATTAGTTTGTGTTGCGTTTCCTGCATAGGTTACTTAAAAGTTGTTCTAAATTATATAAAAAAGCTGTTACATCTAAAGTAGGAGTCCGGTAAAGACATATTATTATTAAGTTGTATTTACTTATTTCAACGCCGCAATATTCGAATTGGAAAGATATTGGGGGTCTAGGGTAACAAATTTCCTTGTATTTTAAATTGTTTTTTATTAGGACGCATGAACCTCCTCGGAGATGATGAGGCCAAGAATATGAAGAGACTAATCTGTAATTATTTATCTTAACGTTGGATTCACTTCCTTGTTTAATAAAAGTTTCTGTGAAACATATGATGTCTATATTTCCTTAATTTCTTTGCAAGTCTGTGATGGCTATATTAATTAAATCTTGTTTGTTAAACAACCCCAATATTTTGATGGATGAGTCTCAATTTATTTTGCTTATTAGTTGCTACGAAAATATTTTAAGAAAATTTGTAATTTTTAATTGTACAGTGGGAATTTAAGTATATACGTACCATTACCCAAAACGGCACTTATATGGAGCACTAACACACTAAAAATTTTCTTTTTAATCATATTAACAATTTGCTGTTGCGGTCTATTCGACAGATTTTAGCAGAATGGAATGAATCGTCCAACGCCGTTAAATATGCGCGAAATAAAATACGTCACATACTATTAGAATTTCATAAATTACTACTTTTTTGTTGACATAAAAAAAAACGTGTGCGTGTTCTATTTTCAAAAATGGAACTTCTTATAAATATTCCTTATATTATTTTTCTTTTTTTTTGTTCGGCTTAGTGCCAACAAATTTCTGTAATTTTATTTTATTTTAATGTGTGTTTGTATTATCGTACCTATATGTTTCAATTGTATTTTTTTAATTTCTATTTAATTTTTTTTTGAGAAACTTATTCTTACATTAATTATCACACATTTTAGATGTAAGATTTTGTAAAATAATTAGTAAATTTAGGACTGTGTGTGATGTCGTAAGCTTAATAACTAAATAAATAAATACCAAATGATCTTTCTAATTCGTCGCGTACAAGTGTAGTTCTTATTTTCAAAAATAGAACTAAAATTTAAAAACTACTATAAGTCATACCATAGATTTTTTTCATAGAGACAATCAAGCAAAAAAATCATTAGTTTTATTAATACCAAGGCACAATTTTGGGAACGATAAAAACATGTTTAATGTTTATTTTACAAAAAAATTAAACCGAAAATAAAAATTAAAATTAATTAATTAAGAAAACTAATTATTGTTTTCTTCTTAATATAATTCTGTCATCTTTATAATTTCAAATTCATTCTAAACTCACATTCAAAAATATGATTTATTATTTTATTATTATTATTATTTATTTTTATTTATTATTTAAAAAAAGACAAAAAGCAGTTCAACAATTTATTATAATAAATATAATATTAAATTCTTTTACAATTTCCCAGGGCCGAAACATTTTAAGTCAATAATATTTCACAATACTCAGCCACCGATTAGGTTAAAAATGTTGAAAGATCAGAATTCTGTTCAGTGTGATCTTGACTTGCAAAGTCTATGAAGTACAACTTTATACAATACACTTCCATACTTACAATCTGTCAAATTTAAGAAGAAAAATGAATTTTTTTTGACAAATTTCAGAAGCACTGAAGCATTCTATCAATCACAATCTGAGCACTAGATTTACAAAAACAGCAAAACTCTCTACTACACCAGGAAGCTTTGAAAAGGAATCAAAAGTAGGAACACACAGGGTCAGGATTCAAAGATAGTCTTTGTTCTAAGTTTTTATGTTCGAAAATCATACTTAGCACTAAGTCTTTGACTCAGAATCTTGCGTATAGGGAGTAGAAGGGCCGCCATTAGAACTTCATGTTTTACTAGACCAACACTTTTGCTTTTAATTCTGTTATACAGACTGCAGACTTCACGATATATCTTCGTACAAAATGTAAACCAATTTAACAATATTCCAGTTTTTCTTATGCTCTTTGTACCGAACTACTTAAAAGTCATTAATCATGTATTCAACTGTAATTGAATTTGACAAAGTAGCTGTTGCTCCAAATATTTTTCTGTAATTCTTAGTTTAGACCTTCGCACAGTATTTTTTTTTTATATAATAGGGGGGCAAACGAGCTTGCGGGACGACCAAAAAGGGCAGTCTACGCAGCCCATAGACACCCATTTTTAGTGGGTGCGTTGCCGGCCTTTGAGGGAGGAGTAGACTAGCTTTTTGAACATTTGGAGGTCGTATCTCTGAGGGAAGAGCCCCCCCCCCGGAGCCGATTCCACAGTTCGCTAGTTCGCAAAAGAAAATGCCTTGTGAAACGGACGGAAGACCTCCAACCATCAAGATGATGTTGGTGAAATTTAGAGGTCGTTCGGCTCGTACGGTGTTGAAAAGAGGTTGATTTTCATACAAATATAGATTTTAATACGTTGCTAATTGTACAGTAGAAGAGAAGATGGTTGCCACAAAACGTTTTCATGAAACAATATACAAATATGTACAGTACAATTATAATATATAATCTTATTAAAAATTATAAAGTAATTTATTTTGATAGATCACGGATCATATACAATTAAATGATGACATATTAGCCTAGTAACACTTCGAAAATATTTTTACACTTTATCACTTTATTCCTTGTAAACTCTTTCATGTTTTTACACTAAACAGCACTTTCCCTATGAAGGGTTAAAGTGACATCTGGGGGTGGGGGCTCCCACTCCCAATTGAGTCGTGCCTTAGATCGTCGGTCTACGGGGGGCGCCGACTCGGCGGAGCCGTCGGAGTATCCACTACTGCAGGATCGAAGACTTCGTGATGCTTGGATTTTATGTTCTGAAAATAAGATATATATATATATGAATATAGAGTAGAAATAGTAATATATATAGTAGGGATATTGGGAAATTAAAATATTAAAAAAAGCCTCTGAAGTGATCTTTAAATTAAGTAAAAGATATTACTACTGTATGTTAGACTATGTCTTTAAATAGGCTACGGTAGACTTGAAATTCCATTAAAATATAGTGTGCGTCAATTATAACTATTTTCGATTGGATTGTATTAATTGTTTGTATAAGATTCTATGTGACTTTAAAGTTCTTTTTGTTTTAATGTGTATTTTAACACACACTATTGTAGCTTATAATAATAAATTTGTTAGCCCTGATGACATACAATCACTTAGCTTCAAAATAAATACTTAACTGTTTATCTGTCTTATTGTTAATTTAGTTTTGTTTTGTCTCTATTACTATACAGCACAATACATCAAATCCTAACTAAGGTAAAAGAAAGCTCTTTCGAAAGCCCATCTGATGGTTTGAGGTGTGTACTTAATCTGTGCGGCTATTTAACAAAGACATGATCTACAATCCGACCGACAATCACCGGCTAAGTCCTTACCTACCTCCAATAGTATCCAAGTAATCTCTTGCAACATCATCCAGCTGCAAGACCTGTATAACAGGGACTGGCTTACGTCTGGATCTTTGAATCAGCCGCACCAGAAGTACCGTCGAGGTTATAAAGACGATTACCAGGAGAAGAGCACCTATTGATATTCCGACGTCTTTATCTAGAATGAGAATAGAATAAGTGCAGTAACAAAACTTTTCTTCAGCACAGACTTCGGTATTTTTATATACGCAACGGGTGTTAGGTTAGTCTAATGAAACCAATTATCAGGTCCTCCAAGTCAGATTCTGACCATATATAACGAACATATAGATTCTATTATATTCGAACTCTTTGCTTTATATAATACAGGGTGTCTCAAAAGGAAGTTCATATTTAGTTGATTGATTTTTTTTAAATCAATCTACTAAATATGAACTTCCGTAAGTCCTATCAAAAAAAGTGTGTGTGTGACAGCTACGACGCACGATTGGAGTTTACTCCCTACGAACGATAAAATAGCGATAATGTTCTGTGGCTGTCGACCATATTTTCATACTAAAGGTGGTAAGAATATATGTTTTTATAATATAAATGTTTGTAGTAGTAATAAAACGTACCTACATAGTAAGAGAAGAATAAGAATGAACAATCTTTTTAGTTTTAATTTCACTGATCATTACTATTGACAAAACGCTATGGCACGCTAGACTATCTACTTTTATTTTTTACACCTGTCAACACTGACAATGTTGTAACGTGGCTGTCAAAACGTGAATTCAAAATAGAAAAGTCTGTGTAATGTATTCCATCTCATTCTTTTACACGTTCAATCCTACAGATATATATGTTTGTCTCTTTCTACATAACGCCTCAACTTTTCGTGTTACACATAACGCCTCAACTTTTCGTGTTACACTTGATTTTACTCCTCATAAAATTTCCGTACCGGGCCTTATAACTCAAATCGTTTCTTAAGGAGTAAACTCCAAAAAGTGTTTATTCATTATTAAAGTAGACATTTTGGGAATTCATTTCTTAAAAATAATACCCTCGCGTTCGCGGCACTCATTTAATCAAACAATAAAATTACTTATGACGGCTCGACAGGTGGGCTCAGTTATTGAACCCTTGGTCATTTGGAATTTCTGTTTCTGTTTCATGATTATTTTTAACGCATATGTGTACGAGTATTCAGGTTTAAGGCATGCCAGTTTCCTGCTCGTTTTTCCTTCACCGCAGGTTAAATGCCAAATCACCGTTATATTCAAAAATTATTTCGAGGTCCTTGACAACTCCATCCCACCAATGCAGCCTCGGTTTACCGGGTTTTCTCTTGCCACTAGGTTGTTGCGTTCAGAAAGAACCTTGGGGTTGTGTCATTCGCCATTCGGTGCACATGTCCCAGCCACTTGAGCCTCTTGCACTTTATGAATTGCTTGCACTTCAACTTGCACGTAGCGAATACGTCAAACACCGTCGTCGCAAACAGGAACAAAGATTCTTCGAAGAATCTTCCGCTCGAAAATAAGGAGAAAGATCTCGTTTTCTTCCAAGCTTTCAGAACCATAAGTGACCACTGCTCGCAGCAGAGCTCATTTTTTTTTATAGAACAGGGGGCAAACGGGCAGGAGTCTCACCTGATGTTAAGTGATACCGCCGCCCATAATGGACACTCTCAATGCCAGAGGGCTCGCGAGTGCGTTTCCGGCCTTTTAAGAATTGGTACGCTCTATTCTTGAAGGACCCTAAGTCGAATTGGTTCGGAAATACGTCAGTGGACGGCTGGTTTCACAAAGTGGTGGTACGCGGCAAAAACTGCCTTGAAAAACGCTCAGTTGTGGAACGGCGGACGTTGAGGTGATAATACCATTTGTACCAGTATGGTGGTTCTTGGCAAAAGAAAATAAAAACAGCTGAATTTCGGCTTTATGGCGGCCATTTGGAACCGTCCGAAAAGTATGGCATGGTAATATTTGTAAATGGCTGCACGACGATGATTAATTGTGCAATAATTAGCCTGGTACAAATGGATGAATTTTTTTTTCACATTTAATTTGGTAAGGCGGGCTGTAAGTCACACCTGAGAAGTATGGCATGATACTACCGCCTATTATTTGTTTATATATAATATATATATAAATAATCGAAAAAGACTAGAAATCTTCCACAAACCTTTTGACATAAATAAAGTTTATATTATTACTAGCAGACCGGCCAAGCGTTTCTGTGGCTAAGGTTTTAGTTATATTACATAGTAGTAACCTATTCAAGGGAAACGGTAGGAGAACACCAGTCATGGGGACCACCATGCTTTTTGGTGGTAATGCCATTAAATGTAGCATATATTTTGAAACGTTGGTACTTTCAACACAGCGCCATCTGTTAGAATTGTGACTATCAAATAATAAACAAATATTTTGCAATAAAATAATTTTGCGGATATTAATTGAGATGTAAGCTATCCTATCCTATCTTTTAAGTTGGATCAAACTACACACGGTGTGCAAATTTGATTGAAATCGGTTCAGTAGTTTAGGATTCCATAGCCGACAAACAACGTGACAAATAATTTATATTGATAAGATTATTTGTGAAACAAATTTGTGACACTCGTAATAAATCCGGCGAGTTTGTCTAACGCCCACGTGATTGGGCCGCCGGTACCAGCGCTATGACCATTATTTATCTTTTTTTCATTGCGTCTTATTACGCAACCCCCCTACAACTAGCCCTGAAAAACCGCCATACTGGTGCAAAAGTCCCAATATATTGTGTCACTATCTCCCGGTATATTATACAATTCCATCAATATCACTTAATCAAACTCATAACCTTCTTTTTTGAAGTCTGTTAACGTGACATAATATTCCCTGTATTTCAGTCACATGATGTTTAGAACGAGAATTAATTAAAAAGTTTTTATCAGTCATTTTGAAATAAGTCCTAAATTTTAATATTACGGGAAGTTTGTATTTTATAATGTATATCCTTAATTTATTAATAAATGAGGTAAAATATATATTTTCGGGGAATGCTCGGCCTATCAGGAAAATTTCTGCTCGAGTGAATATAGCCTTGATTATTGTTGTTGGTTTGGTTAATAATTGAGATTCCTTACTATTACTTTTACTTTTAAGAATCATAATTTAATTTGAATCCATTTATTTTGTTATTATTTAATTGTTTTATAATTTAGAATCATTAACCAAAAAATCTCCAAATGTCGTAAAATGATAAATGCAATAAAGACAATGGGACAATGAAGGGCGATATACCAACATTGCCCCTAAAATTAAGTAGATATATATATCTATATATATACAAGTGCAAAAGCACCGAGTCCCATATAAGATATATATATCTCACTTACATTTCCACCACGGTGTTTCTGCGGCGTCTAGTAAATTTTCAGTCGGCCTCAAAAGGAGAGCTCTTGAGCACCCATATCTGTTGCAAGCTGATGCTGCAGCCTCGTCACCCATCTTCAGGGTTCCGAGAGGACCTCTCACCAGCCACGGGACTCCGCCGCCTTGCGCCAGCGCTTGGCTTACTCCAAAACCCATAGAACCACGCTTCTCCAAGTACATTGAGGCGTTGGATGTGGATATTCTCCAGACTGATACTTCATAGTAGGTTGCGTTTTCCACTGAAAATGAAAATGTTATGCTATAATTAAATAAAAAATATTATTTAATAAACATATCAGTTAATTGGTATTTCTTAGTTTATTTAAGTTCCTCATCACTATTTGTTACATTAATCAATAAGTACCTGGTACACATCTCATTTGAAACTCCTCATACTCATAGGCCAGGTCACACTGCTGAGGTTGTGGTGGTCTTAGCTGTTCCAGTGAAAAGAACTTCTTACATGGCTTCTCCTGGGATGCCACGCCATTACCAGCTTCACAGCTGGCATCCAGCAGCCCTGAAAGGCTTCCTGTAAGCTGGCTCAAGGGAAGAATGGGCGAGCCAGTTGTAAGGTGCTGTGCATCCTCGCCAGATGTTTGAATGTGCCAGAAAAACGTATCTGGTTCTGGTAAACCTCGTACGCTGCATTTGAGAGTTTCTTTGACCAATGTGATCCCACTACTTGTGCATTCAGGAGGATCTGTGAATTCATAATTAGTCTTACTCAGGTCAACTTTGTTGTGTCTTAAGCTCAATATTTACGTGGTATAATACAAATTTCTTTACGCTGTCCGAAGGGTTAATCTCCAATGGTTTTGAAGTTTATATCACCTCCTAAGATCTTTTAAACTACGTTCTGTTAGTTCTTGGCGAACTCGAGACTACAATATACATACATAGGTACTCTCAAAGTTTATTTATTTCGTAATCCTACAGCTAACAAACATTATATATAATAACAAACAAATATATTAATAATATAGCTAAAGATGGAATACATAATGTCACCTACAAAAAATATTCAATAGGTACATTTAACTAGAATTTAGAAGGAAAAAGCCTTTTTCTAATAATTTGTTCGCGGCTTCGGCAAGATAAGCAACGCCGTGTAGTAAGTGTGTTTGAATTAAAAAATAAGCTGCATGGAGAGTTATTTAAAATGTTTAGAGATGTAGGGTAGATTATTAGTGGTTTTATTAATTTTTCAGTAGTGTTTGTATGTTAGAAATTTTGGTTTTGCATGCTGTACCGAATATTTCAATTAGATATATGAAATGTGGCTTGACTAAACAATTATAAATAAAATAACTATATCAGACAAAAATTTGGAAATCTCGCAAACCCCGATTACTTACCAGAAATGGAATCCAGAACCTTCCGGGCAGTCATCATCCGTGTCAAGACTATTAGGTTAATTTTTGTGAAATAAAAGAAACTTTAAAACACTTACAATAAACAATAATGCTAATTGCTTCAGCTCTGGTTTCACCGACGCCGTTCGCGGCTGCACAAGAGTATTGTCCTGCATGCTTTCTCTCAGTCTCAACTATTGTCAGACTCTGGGCTTTGGTTTGGCTTCCCCATATACTATTTGGTTTTATTTCTATATTCTGAAAATATTAGTAATATATCACGGAAACTGATACCTATTCTGAACAGGTCGTGCGTTCAAACTACTTTTATGCTAAATCAACATTGTGTGTCCGTCTTACTATCTGTTTTCGTTCCATGGGAAATCTCACTCTTCCACGGGAAATGTTGCGCTGTCAGATAGCAGTTAGTAACAGATTAGCCAAATATAAATAGGCATGCAAATGTCACATTAATATTTATAATGTCATATAATAATAACATTAACGTAATGTCATAATAATAAGTTAAGTTATTTAGAATTGGTGTCATACTTATGGTCTTAATTCTCGCCCACGCTATAAGGGCACCTTGCCTTTAAAAATTTAATCACCTCCCCGTTACATTCCCGGTATAAACGAGATTTAATGACAATTCTATAATTTTGGGAAATTAAGTGGTTTGTATTGTATGAGTGTGTTGATAAACAAATCACCAAAAGTCCAAGGTTTTCTTGTGAAAAAAAAATCTGCGCCTACAATCGAATTAACGAAGTTATTCCGACGGAGGTAAAACTTCTCGGCATTCGAGCCAGTTAGTAGTGGACTAGATGATGATCCTTCCTTTGGGTTGGACCAACAGCACAGCGCCTTTCTTCTGCCACAGTTCTAATCGGGCAGTCGTAACGTGGAAAAAAAGAGTACCGAGAGTTTTTTACGCCGGCTTTTTTTCTCGGCCTACACCCTCTGTCTTCTTTGCCGATGAGTAGGGATGCCTTCAAATTTAATGACGTGGAATATGTGATACATGTATCTTATGATCCATAATAAACATATTTTATTTTTTATTTTTTTTATTTTAGAAGTGATAAGTATACTAAAATAGTACAAAACGTTGCGTTTAACTTTAGATAAGGGAATTCCATTCAACAATATTCGCATTTCCTTACGGAGTGTAATTTCACCATCAAAATTTCTAAGGACAAGAATTTAAATCTACACACGAAAATACTTACATTAAAATACCATGTATAATTGTCAACCGGTGGGTTCGCCTTCGTCTCGCACGTCAAATGCAAAGTGTCCAGTTCTGAAACCTCATTCAGTCTTCCGTCTCCGTCTTTTATTACTTCTACTAATGGACTATCTGCAAAAGTTTTAATTTACGTTGTATTTTTAGTATTCTGATAACTGATGAATATCACTCCCCACACTTTGAAATCAATTTTCCTTTAGTTTTTATAATTAATTATTTATTTTTTATCTCTTCGTGTATGTTATGTTTGCCTGTAAGTGTTTATCACATTAAATATTTTATTTTATTTTTCTTATGTACCAATGTTTGAGTGTGCCGAGCCTTGACAAGATTTTGTAAATAATAAAAAAAATATTGACTCTTGTTGAATGTGCCTCCATTTAGCGATTGTATAAGAAATGCGCTCTGCTTTCGGAGGCTGCCTAACCGACCACGTAAACGTAATGACTTTGAGTGATTCGGAAGTGAAATTCCCATACGTCAAATTTCCTTACACGTTTGACATACAGGAGTCCCAATTAGCGTTAAGCCTTTCTGAGTATCACTCTTAACTGGTTAAAAGGTGCCAATATCTGTAAAGACGATACAAGCCTTCTTGTATTGTGTATATCAGTGATTTACTGTCGGTTGAATTATATCGTATGCGAAATACACGATTTCTTAGCTTATTGAATTATAAAAAAAATATATTTTTTTAACTCTCTCGGAATTAATTGACACGTGATATTGTGAATCCCTGTTACGTTTGCGACTTTCATTTTTTTACGAGTCTGCGAATAATTAAATGTTGTTTTTCCTTTGGATTATAACTCTGGTGAATAACTTTGAATAAAACCATATGGAATCATAATAATATCTATATACCAATTAACGATGTTTCTTTTAATTGCCAGTTTAGTTGGAGGAATACAATTACATTTAGTTGTCGGCGAATACGTTTAAGCATCAAATATAACCAAACCTCACGAAACAGACAATTTTCAAGTTTTTTATTAAGTTACATACTAGCGACATCTTTTGGGAAAAATACTTACAGGTAACATTTAACACAACCACATCGGCTTTGGAATTTCTATCGGGCGCCATCGCACTGTTCGTTGCGATGCAAGCAAGCGTTGCGCCGTGGTCGCCGACAGATGGCGTTAATTCTAAATACGACACCGCCGTACGGGATGAGTTAATGACGCTCTGAAACCGATGATTTTTTTCTTATTTGATAATAATTTTAAAATGAGATAATTTAAATATGTAAAATTGTATGGTGATTATGTAGTTCATCTTCTACATTAATTTTAACTACCATAAATGTCGTTCTACAGTACAGAACAATATATTTTTAAATGAATAACGTATTGATAATATATATTTTTCTATTATAGTAGAGTAGAGTTTTTTTATAGTAGAGCGGGCAAGAAGAACTGGCAAGAAACTATCCCCCACTCTTTTTAATCTAAAAATATTTTTAAAAGTTTTAATAGTTAATAGTCATACAAATTGGTTTAACTGGAGCAATTTAATCCCAAGGATAATTTAGAAAATCGACAATTTTATAACAAGCCTTTATTTATTAATTTACTAATAACGAGAGTTTTGAATTTATCCAGTGATAATTCTCTAATTTCGCTTGAGAGTTTGTTGTAAACACGAATACAATTTCTAAATAAGGAGTGGTTTATTTTATAAGCCTTATAAAATTAGTAGATTATTTAAGTAAAATAGCTGACCTGATTACTATGTTGTGACAAGTGTCGATGGTCCAGCCACCAAATAATATCCGGGGATGGATAGGACCCATGTGCTATACACCTCGCGACCGCGGTTTTGCCGGCCTGCAAAGCATCACCATTGGTTCCACTAACCCAGTGTATTGATACGTTGAAGGCAGGTACTGAAAATATTTACACCTGTTTATATCTTTAATGCCATTACATAATACGATTGAGTTTCACCAAGATTGTATTGTGTGATTTTCGTATTTTTTTAATTATGCAATCAATAATGTCACTATTAATTACTTCATTGACGACATAAGACACTAAGTGTAATAGATTGCTTGTGCCAGTAAGCAGATATTCCCATCTTAAATTAACTAATTAAACATGTGGCCTTATTACTCAGTGATATATCAAATAACCTTGGTTAGAAACTTGAAAAGAATTTTGTGCTAAAGTAAAAATAATATCTAAACATAAAATTATGTTTTTGAATTTCTTTATTAGATAATAACGCAAACTTATTACATGTATTATGTAAGTCGCCACACACAATTGACTGATATTTGATATTGTCATTAATTAATCTAATAAATTGTTTCCATATATATTAACGTCATTGTGGTATTAACATGTTGCCATATTATCGTCATTGTGGTATTAACATGTTGCCATTCTAACTTTATTGTCGTATTAATATGTTGCCATACTAACGTCATTGCTGTATTACGTACTAACGTCATTGCCGTATTAACATGTTGCCATATTAACATCATCGCCGTAATAGCGTGTTGCCATATTAACGTATTGCCACGATATTATTATTTGTCGTATGCTGCTGGATTTTTTGTAAGCACTTATATCTTAAGTAAACTTAGCGATTAATAATATTATTATTTCTATACAATAATAATCTGGTTGCGATACAACTCATAGATTTCTGAAAAATGTCTTTATTATACTTACAATATAATTCAATCTTAAGACCAGATATCACAGGTTGTGTTAGATGTGTGTTGCTTGCCCTGCAAGAGAGCGACCGGGTGTTGTCCCGAGTGAGAGGCAGATAGAGTTCGTTCTCCCTCACCCCAGGTATGTCGCTGACACCATCTGATGCATCCACTAGATCCTCGCCGGAGTACCAACTAATCCTAGGCGGAGGTCTACCTGAAGGTTTAAAGTTAAAAATTAGTATTTTTTATGCGTAAACATTTTATGACCATTTGTGTTCATCATTTTCTAACTATTGTATTTAAACGCGCAGTCTGAGAAGAAGGAACAACTCAACATTTTCAGCAATATATTGTTCTTATTTATATTTTAATTCTTATTGTATATAAATACAGTCATACACACAGACACAAAAAGATATTACTACGCAGGCAATCAGAGATGTTAAAAATTTTGGCATGTTAGATGTAAAAATTCGCTAAAAATCGAGTATTAACCGATGAATTACGGTCAAAATTGCAGGGAAGCCAGCCTACTAATGCACGTATTTTTATACGCCGAGTCTTATTGTTTGAAAACAATTTCTTTTTAAGGATACTGAGCCATTTCAATATTATGTTTACGGCGCAAATGTACTTTGTTTATTTATGACTTGCGGATTTTATAACACAAGGACCAAACGGAAGGAGATACGATCTGCCTTTGATCGATAATGTTCCGCTGACTTACAAAATATTAAAATACCTTTTAAAAATGTTAAGTTAATGTATTCAGAACAAAAACTGCTCTAAACACCGAAAAAAGCAAGTTTTCGATTCATTTTCGCGCTACTAAAAACAAATACCCAATACTGATGATTTTTCATGATGATTGATGACTAACAATTTCATATTTGACTCTGGTATGGAAAGATTGTACTATCAAAGCGCTAAATCACGCAAACCTATGTAATTAAATTGATGCACTTTATTAGGTATGTATGTATTTCAAATCGAATACCTTTGTTCAGAAGTTATAGTTCTAGGCTTCGTTTCTGAACATTACCAGTTATAACAACGTTTAAAATCCTTAATTTTATTATCCAGTACTAATTAAAATGGTTACTAATTAACCATCCACAAATTATTATCAAGAAAATATTTCCACTTCCTATGAAACATGAAAATCCCTTACCTCCAATAACGAGACAACTTAAAACCAAAGTGTCACCTTCGTGATATGGGCCAATTTTATTCTCAACTTTGTTCCCTAATTCGTCCAGAAAAAACGGTTGACTTGGTAACACTGAAAAAAGAATGACATTTAAGCACAATATAAACCCAAAATAAATTTCTATTGTTCGGTAATATTGTAAAACATTTTTACATTTTTGCCTCACGGTTGAGGGCTTATAAAATTTCTAAAGATGACACGTGAAACAACAATGTTACAATTATTTTTGAATATTTATTTCCAACACACAAATATTTAATATTTACAATATTCAACATTTATAAATAGAAAATTTAATAAAAAAGGTCCCTTTAACGGATGCTTTGGAAAAGGAAAGCACCAGCTCTGGGGTCACCGGTACCATTTACCGGCTTAAATCTTTAATTAGCGCCTGTCTTCCGTCTTTACTTCCAAGGGAACAAAATCGAATTTTGAGGAAAGACTCTTATATTTAAGCCGTTTATTATTTTCCGCCTCCTCTGCGGCTGCGCCAGATTTTGTGGTTGTCCGAGGAAGGTAAGATGGGTAACGTGTCTAAACAGTAGCATCCCATCCCATCCGGCCGCCTCTAGCGATGCCTGTTGGCTCTAAAATAGCTGGAACATTGACAGTGGCAAGAGATCGGCCTATGATGTCGTATGATGAATAGCGACCTGCACTATTTTGCCAATGGAGGCCATGGTGTCTAACTTTCTTCAAAGCCACAGGGATAGTTATGGGGAGTAAGTGAAGGCTGATGGCAGTACGAAGTGATTCAGGATGCAAAAGTTTGGCCAATATTTGGCGAAGGTCAAGCAATAAGCCAAAAACCAGCTTTCCTAGATTGCGCGGTCTAGGTGTGGCCTAATAAGTTTTGAAATTCACGCTAACCACGGATTTCTCGCATCTGTTAAACCCGCAATCTCGTTGTTTGCAGAACAAGATCTAAGTAGTTTACCTATCACTCATACCAGACTGTTAGATTTGTGAGCAGATGAGAGAAACCCTGGAAGAGCTACACTAATATTTGTTTTATTTTATAATTTCGATTTTGATATTGGCTGTCGCATGAATGTGGAAAACGAATCAATATAAATTCTTTGTCATGTCAATCATCACGCTGGGTGGGATAAGCAGCGGAAATTGATTTGAGACAGCTGTTTATTAAACTAAACGTGTGTTGTTAAGATTCTCGTATTTAGAATCAAAATTTTTGTAATTAAATTTCATCTCGTTCAATGATTTTTATTCATAATATTGTTAATGAATTTGATCCTTAATTACTTATTAAGGTTATAATATAACGGAAAAAATATTTATGAGAATTTAGAAATAAAAATTGATTAAATTAAATGGAATATGATGCAAAATGATGATTTTGAATGCGTAAAAAATGGAAATAAACAAAAACAAAATAAAATAAAATTACGTAAAGTCTAAGAAACGGACAATTTAATAGTGGTCAGACAAAATTTGCTTATGCCTAAACCTGAACCCTTTTTTCTCAGTGCTCTTGCTTGTGCTCTTTATACTTTTGCTTGTGCTCCTGCTTCTTCTTGTGTTGTGCTCCTGCTTTTGCTTGTGTTGTGCTCCTGCTGATGCCTGTGTGTTTATTTTATTTTCATCCTGTGACGAAACGAAGAGTTACCAAAACCAGCAGCCTTCATTTTTATTTTTGATCTTGTCCTATTTTTTGTTATGTGTCCTTTTTAAGTTACTTTTTTGTGTTTTTAAATTTGTTTTAAGTTATTGTTTTTTTATGTTAGTTTATTAACTGTTGTGAATGCAGGGTGACCTATCTTGGAGGAGTCGATGCGTCCCATACATGTACATTTTGCAACAAGTCTTTCAAATCTTTGAAAGGCCTCAAAATACACATTTCTAAAACACACAGGAACTGTATTAGCCAAACCAAAAATAGTTCACTTTTAGAAATCCATCCCATTATTCCGAGTGCGCCTACTTTTGCAGCCAACGCTCCAACTCCTTTTCATACATTACTTAGCCATTTGAAAAATAGTATACCCATTGTTAAAAGAATCCCTCGTGAGCACTGAATAACTGTTGCTACACATTTGTCAAAATTAATCCAGAAATGTTATATAAGCAATTGTACTCAAGACTGGCAGAACTTATTTTTATTTTCATACAGTACACTACACATAATAAAAACTGATGAACCGAATTTATCCCTGACACAAAAGATAAAGAATAACTGTGCTGTAAGTTCCTCACCTTCTCCCGCACCTCTAATTAAACATGATGCCCCTTTTAATCGCAAAAACTCATCGAGAACAAAATTTGTGACGGAGATCTTAAAGGTGCCGTCGTCTTTTGTTCTCCAATGACGTGTATGCAGATACGCCTGACACCCTTGAGGCATTACGGACTAAACATCCCCAGCTCCAGTAAACCCATATTTTCTCGACCCACCAACAGAGGGCAAGCATGCCTTAAAATTCGAAACAAAGATGTAACTGATGCAATTTTATCTTTTAAAAGGTTCGGAGAGGATTGGATGGAATCTCACCCCAACATTTGAAAGATTTAACATCGCATTTGTGGGTGATGCAGGCGAGCAACTTATTAACTCGATCACAAAATTAATAAATTTTATGTATTCCGGGGATGTCAATACAGAAATTGTTCCCATTCTTTTGGCGGAACCTCATTGCCCTCACTAAAAAGGACGGAGGGGTGAGACCAATTGTGTTGGTTCAACATAAGACGTCTGGCTTCCAAAATTGTGTTCGACATATTTTACCAAAATTAAATTCAGAATTTGAACCTGTACAGTTAGGTTCGGTGTGAAAGGAGGGTGTGAGGAGCCGTATGCCCTACGCTCTTTCCTAAGTCACAGACAGCCAGACGTGTTGCTCAAAATTGATGTGAAAAATGCATTTAATTCGGTAAATAGGGATACCCTGCTGACTGAAATAAAACAACATATACCGGAAATATACAATTATCTTCTTCTCAGTTATGCTGATCCAACTAAATTGTTATATCGTTCTAATGAACTTTCCTCGGAAGTAGGTTGTCAACAGGGTGATTTGGGCCTGCAATTTTTATTTTTATTTTTTTAATCAAAAATTTATATTCTTATTTCAATGTTTGGTATTTGGAGACGGAACCTAGGAGGTGATGTGGATATGTGTTTTGGACCTTCTTTTAATCAAAAATAAATTTGAAGCCATTGGTTTGGAGCTTAATTTTAACAAATGCGAACTTTTCATAAATAACTGCGACTTAAATTTAAATGATGTAAAAAAAAATTTCAAATTTTGCTCAAATATTAAAATAGTTAAAGGAATTCCCTTTACCTTTTAGGTTCTCCAATTTTTAATGAATCTATTTCTGATTATATTCATACTTCAATTACTAAATTTCAAAATTCTGCTGACCGTCTCCTTGAAATATCCACATTATGCACTTTGCATCTTAAAATTCTGTCTTTTCCTCCCAAAATTTACGTATGTGCTGTTGTGTCCTTTTGGAATCACCCAGATATTTTAACACCATTAGACGACTTAATCAAAATTAGCTTAGAATCACTTCTTAATATGAGCTGAACGAGAAATCTTGGACCCAAGCTTCCCTACCCATCCGTTATGGTGGTTTAGGGATTCGCAAAATTTCAGTGTCGCTTTACCAGCCTTTCTATCTTCTGTCCATAGTTCAGCAAATCTCATAAGAAAATTTAGGGATCCTTCAAACTTTGAGATTGCTGGCTTGGAAGAAGCTAGAAACGCTTTCTTGATTGATGCAGGTCAAAATTTCCATTATCTCTAAATTCAAGAGGAGCTGGGATGACATACACTGAAGTTGACTTTTGACGATTTTTGAGTCGTAGTAGGGTTCGGCGCGTGCTGGGCTTTTGGCCGTGGGCACGCATGAGGCCGGCACTGGCTCAGCTTACCCATCGTCAAATACAGGAACTTTTCTTGAGCCTGACACGCTTCGAATCGCACCTGTCTAGGTGGGGTTCCGGTCTGCGCTCCTCATATATGTCCCTGTGGCAGTGATGTCGACAAGTAGGACATCACGGCCTGTCATGCCAAAAAGTGCAGGCCGCTTCTCGAGACATGCCGCACTTAACGATATCATACGCCGTTCCCTTGCCACCGTCAACGTGCCAAGTCTTCTTGAGCCAAGTGGTATTGCAAGAGACGATGGCAAGAGACCGGACGGTATGAGTTTGATTCCATGGAAGATGGGTCGGGTACTGGTATGGGATGCAACCTGTTCAGACACGCTGGCCCCTTCCCATCTACATGGAACCAACTACAGAGCTGGTGCGGCTTGTGAAGCGGCTGAAAAAAATAAAGCAGGCAAATACAGGGGTCTGGGCTCTGAATATGATTTTGTCCCATTCGGTGTGAGACCCTTGGTCCGTGGGGTCCTAGCGCTTTAAGGCTTTTTAAAGAAATTTCAAAAGGTTAGTCGACATACAGGAGACCGAAGATCTGGCAGCTACCTCGGACAAAGAATTAGTCTAGCAATTCAAAGGGGGAACGCTGCCAGTATCTTCGGAACCTTGCCTAAAGGGACTCCTTTTAATGATATATTTTAGTTTATGTTAAGTTTCGTTATTTATTTCAATGTATATTATTTTATTATTATTAGTTTATGTTTATAAGTTTAATTTTATTAATATTGTTACCTAATAGTTGTCATGTTACTACATAACGAATTTTTAAATTATGTTATGAGTGAAAGAATTAGTAATATATTGTTAATTGTTTTATCTATTGCTGGTATTATAATTACTATTGGTATAATAACCTGACGTGCATGGAATGGCGGATCACAGAACCCCAAGATCCTTACTGAACTCACAACCTGGTGGCAAGATGAAACCCGGTAGACTAAGGCTGCGTTGGCGGGATGGAGTTGTCAAGGACATCGAAACAATAAGGGTTCGCAGTTGGACGCAAGAAGCACTAAATAGTTTGCGATGGCCAACTATACTTGAAGAGGCTAAGGCTAGCTAGAGCTACCACAAGGGGCTGTATAGTCATTGATGTTGATGATGATGATGATAATCCCCTGTCTAAACCTGGTATATGTTGGAACTACCTTAATAAGACTGG